ATTCGAATCTGATTCCAACATGTGAACCAAACGCCACCTTAGCATCTAAAGAATTATGTGAACAATAAATGAAATTTTCACTAATTTATTTAAAGGCTTTCATACTTCAGGGGTCAATAGAGAACATAAGTGGTACCAATACTAGATCATTAGAAGAGATGTTTGGAAGTTCACGTGCATCCATGCTAATGGGTAATGACCTTGCAAGAAAGGTGTTGAAGGCTAAAGCTACCAAAACCTCATAATCGAATGTTGCTCCTAATTCACTAGCTACTGCAGAGGCTTCAACTATGGCAGGAACAAGACCAGCTGCAAATTCTAATGGAGAAGAGATATTTGCACATTTTAAAACCATTCCTTCTACCTGATATGCTGCATCGGCTGCTGGAAAATCTTTTATATCTTAATATGTTATGAGTCCTACATTACTAGTACTTTATTTTGGTTGCAAACTTGGTTGACTTAATGCTTTTAGCAAGTCCTTTGTGGTATCAGTATTGCTAATGATGTAATAAAAATATGCATTCTGGTGAAGAGCATTTGCTTGTTTTCTCGTAATGTTTACTTCCAAAAAAATTGCATTCTGAAGTAATTTTTGGAGAATTTAGAAGGTTAGTTCTCAATGTTGATGCTTTGTTTGGTTGTTCTGGAGTGAGTTTCTTACGTTTGTCCTACTATTGTAATGACTAATCTCTAGGTATAGAGATGTGCACTATAATACTAAAATTTTGCAAATTTTGATTTATTTAAACTTAAAAAAAAAATATTCAAAGGATAAATTAAGTGCTCAAGCAGTTGGAAAAACACAATTGATTATTTTCCGTAGCTGTGTATGTTGAAACACAATAGGAAGAGACCAAGTTTAGACGGGGTTTTTTTGGAATGTTTTCATTATTTAATCTTTATTCGGATGAAAAAGGCTATTTTTGGAATAAAAGAATAGAATGATAATGGCACATGAGTCTTGAAGGACATTTTTGGACTTTCACTTTAATTTTTGGCTGGCACTAGTTGATTTCCTAACGGTTTTAGATGGTGGGGTGGCTTTTGTTAAACGGTAATAAATTTGAAGGGGGTATCTGTTATTTTTTGAGACCACAGGGATTGATTGGTAGTTTGACCTAACCTTAGGGGAGGTAAAGAAGCATTAAGGTTCACCTTTCCCTAAGATACTACCACTATCATTAGGCTAAGGATAATTACTAATAATCATAAAATAACCTCGGAATAGTTGTAATAATAGCAGCAACAATAGAACAGTAAGGACTGAAAATTCAGCCTTACACTTGAATAGTTTAGATGTGATGATACTAAAACAGTTTATAAGCTATTGGTCAGAGACTACGCATGCTTATTCGCATAATTTATAATAGTCTATTTAAAAGAAGCACTGAAACCAAGAACCAAATTTGATTTATACGAATGTAAACGAATTGCTTCATTCTATCAACAATAGTCCAAAACGGCATTCGTGAAACATCGAAGCTATCAACAATAATCCTCGTGTTGCTACAAAGATTCCTAGTCCTCGTGTTACTTTATTCTAATCCATTTATTGACTTATACCAGTATACTTAATCCAAATCATTCCGAATCCGTGTAATGACATGTGCACAATAACAATAAAACTAATATGCATAAGGTGTGACCCAAAACGATCTCTTAAGGAATCAATACTATTTCTAGATTATTCAAGGCACATTCAAATGGATTGATCATGAGACGAACTTATTAAGTGATTTAACCAACAATCTCTCAAGTTTTGATGTCCAATTAGTTCTATTACAATTCATAGAGTTAAAATTTGAATTGACTTTATAAGATGAATAAAAAGAATAAGATCCTAGAGCCTTGCTTGTGTTGTAATCGCGAGTTATTATCCAATTTCAAAGTTCCTTCTCTTCCCTCTTTTTTTCTTCCAAAAGCTTGCTCACCCTCTCCCTCAAACTCACTTTTGTGTTTGTCAACTTTCCAGAGAAAGAAATATGATTTAGTTCTGTGTGTAGGGTATATAAATATCTTACACTTACTCTACTAGTGTTATTTCGGAAAAAAAAAAAAACAAATCTCAATTGAAAAGGTAATATCCTAATTAATAGTTGGTAATGTCATGCAAATGGGTTTGGTTGATATTTGGCTAGTAATCAAATATTAATGATACTAAATGTAGTTGGAATCTTAACATGGGAATTAAAGAAAATGGACTGACTATATTCATTGAATCTTAGGACTAGTGTTTGGCAGTATGATTAGGTTCATCTGCATAAGTAATATGGTAAGAGAATGATTTTTAGGAAATGAGTTTAAAAATATTCATGATACTAAATATATTTAAAATCTTACCATGTGAATTAAAGAAATCGGAATGGCCAGATTCGTCTAGCATGAATAGAAGGAAACAACATAATCAATTTAAATTAGCTTGTGGTTACATTCTTTGACTAACTATTACGGTAGGTTACATTCATGTACAATTATGACAAATAGACAAATTAGGTGAGATGACATATTTAACAATAATTTCCCCACAAATTATATTATTAGAGAATATCAATTAGTTAATGCCATTAGAATACTTAATATTAAGTCTCCGTAAGGAAATAATATTTATAAAAAATACGAGATATTACATAGCACGTCATCAACTTTTATTTCGGCTAAAAATGAGAAATTTTCTGTTTCACATTTCTCATCACATCCATCTAGTCCAAGCTTATAATCATGCGTAGGCTGTTTAATGATTGACATTTAATTAAGGAGCTTAATTGAGTCAGATTGTCATCCTTTAGTAAAGAATTAAGGTAGATGGCAGATTGCAATTTGGCTTTACTATATTCACGTGCTAAATAAGCCATCCAAAGTCTGCTTTGACAAAAGTTTGGTGATGCTGATACATGTATTTGAACTACTTGTGCTACTTTCCGCTTTAACTCTTTGATGGATTCACATATAAGCATGAATTTTTGGGTAATTTAAAAGAAACGCATAATTAGTCTTAGGGATAATTTCAGAAACCTTCTCTGAGGTTTCTGACTATTTCATTGCCTTCCCTTCAAATTTTAAAAATTATATTAACCTCTCTTGAAGTTTATTATTTTATAACATTTAGGAAAAAGAGATAATATGATTTCACTATTGCCCGTCATCTACTAAATTATTTAATTAATCTAATACTAACTCAAACTTGAAAGAAAACGCTAGAATTTGCTATTTATCATCAGGAATTAAATCGCATGTGGCATCAAAAATAGTATATCATTCTATATATTTCACTTAATGTAACATCCAAATTACTCTTACAATTATAAACTCATTACCAAACAAGATCAACATCAAAATCTGGAGGAAGGATAGTGAAATAGTCAAGATAATTAATATTTGAAAAGTTTTCTGCCTAGAAGAGTCAAAGGATTAGGTATTTTTGGGACATACTTTAGGGTGTTTCTAAAATTTAAAATTTTATCGGGATATATATGTTTAAATGTGTTAATTTTGACTACAACCCATTACAAACCACCTACCACTATCAACGCTCATTACCTCCTACCTCCACCACCGCCACCGCTGCCACATGGCTGTCGCTTCTCTATTCTAGCATGGATTCTTGAGTTTGCTGCGTTTGATCAATTCTCTTTAACAAAGAAAAGCTTCGCAGCCTTGTTTGGTCATCTATGTTTTTGAATGACTTGTTTTTTGATATGAAATTTCAAATATTTCCGCTGCATAATTTTTTGAACATTGCTCCCGTGCCTACTTTTACGTACGGTTTTGTTGTTTTCATCAATATTCAATAGGCCAAATTGTATACCAAATCCGTTTCTCTACTTTGAAAATATTATTGTCTTCTACCGAGTGTTTTTGGTTTGCCTAATAAATTTGGCAAATGAGAAACTATAGAAATCATCCAAAACAGCTAACACATCATCAATTTTTTGTGCGGCTAAAAAATGACAAATTCTTAACCTGTTTTGCTGTTTTACAACTTGTTTACACGGGATTATATTAAGACTTTAGATTAAGTCAGATTATCATCCTTGAGTACAGAGTTAAGCTGGATGGCGTATTGCAGTTCGACTTTAATAATATTCACGTGCAAAAAATCATTGAAAGTCTACTTTGACCAAACTTTGGTGATGCGGATACATGTACTTGAACCACTTGTAACGCTGTCCACTTTTTAACGCTATTTTTTTGATGGATTCAACGATAAGCATGACTTTTCGCAATTTACAAGGAAAAAGAAATGTGTAATTAAACTTGACTTTAACTATTATAAACGTTGGATGTTCATATATGGGCTTTTGTCCCAGTTCTTGTACCATTTCTTGTTTCGAATCTATTAAATCGTCATATATTCTTCATGAACATTCTATGTTAATTCTTTTTATTGTCTCTTTAAATTCTATCACCATTAACCAAAGTTTTCGACTACTTTTTATCTTAAATCTGTCATATGACATACACATGGTCAATTTTTTTTAGGACAAATCATTAATCCCATTTGTAGTTAAATAAATGACCTAATCTATATTCAATTTTGCATTTAAAAAGTGGGATCTAATCCAAATTATATTTATTTTTCTTTAAAAAGGGGAGATCTGACCCAATCCATAGTCATTGTTACCACTAAAAATATTGAGATCTGACTTTTTTTTATATATAAAAAGTAACTGCATGTGGATTACATAGTGATTTTATGCTTAAAAGTAATCGATTGTGGATTACATAGTGATTTTATGCTTAAAAGTAATCGAAAACTTAGGTTCGAACCAAATATTGGTAGATTAAATTTGTAAGGAATGTAAAATTAACATTTTAAAGGAGAAAGGTGAAAAGATTTATTTGGCAAAATTTAACGGATATTTTGAATGATTTTACCTTCTTTCTTCTACTTTTTTAGCCATTTGTAAATATATAACACAATATATTCACATGCAAAGTTACATATGGTGAGAAAATTGGGTGCGGAATAATAGAGGTCGACACAAAAAGTGCGACAGTAGACTCAAAACCATTTTAAGATTCAAAAGCAAAACGTAGCTGGCAATCATTTTCAAAACAATAGTTTGATCCTTGGCTTTTGCCAAGTACTCTGCATTTCACAAAAATACAAGTAACACAAAAGAAATACTGATATTATTATTGTTGTCATCATCATCATCATCATCATCATTTGCATTGTCGAGTTGCATTTCCTCTTCAGGGATGAGGACAACCGCAGTAAAGTTAGCTGGGACGGGATAAAGAAGATTAGGCAAATATTAAGTTGTGAAACATTATTCATTTTGGATTCTATAGCTCATTCCAGGTTAAATTGGTTGAATTGATCAAAAACAGTTGACAATAGAAAAAGAAAGCTATAGAAAATTTTGAAAAGGCTAGTCATCCTCATCCAGTTTTTTGTGGCTAAAAATAAAAAACGTCTTCCGGTTTTGTTGCTGTTTCATGATAAACATCCATTAGTCAAAAGCTTAATGATCATGCTTAGGCTGTTTATCATGCCATTAAGACCTTAGATAAACTCAGATTATCACAGTTTTATTAAAGAATTAAGGGCCCATTGGCATTGCTATTTTCTGACATGCATAAGTAATCATTCAAAGTCTACTTTGAGAAAGCTTGGGTGATAGCGATACTGTCCACTTTTAACTTTATTTTTGGATGACAAACCTTTCTGGTAATTCACCGAGAAATAGAAATTTATAATAATTAACCTTACCTGTTATAAACATTTGACCTTGATATATGGGCAATTTAATATTTCAATTTACAACTGCTTCAAGTATATTCTAGTTTGAATTTTCCCTCACCTTGAGTCATCATTTGTTGCTGGGTAAATTGATCATGATAATGTATCGATCTAGACCCAATCCAACTGATAGAAATATTAATAAGACCTTTCTCTTGTAAAGTTTAGAGCTGTCAATAAATGGAAAAAAATTATCATGATAATGGTTTACTAATTCGAAAGCTTATTTTTTTCTATTTGTTGAGAAACCTTATCACCAAACAGATAACTAGTACTAGAGAAGTTGAACAAGTAAACAAACTCAAGCCATGATGGCTGAATAAATAATGAAGTTTCTGATGTCCACGGGCAACCTTGCGGGTTCAGGATTTCAACAACAATCTTGGCCTCCATATTTATTGGTATCTCTTATGGTATAGTTGTGATTTAAGCAATTTCATCATATGATCTCTTTGATTTTTCCTTTTCATCTTTTTTGTTTTTTTTTTGTTTTGAGGCACTATGAATTCTAAAGTACTTAAGAGTTGAGGTCTTGACACCCACAGCCTATTCGTAATTAAGAAACAATTACATGTCAGCATGAACATACAAATTAAGGGGGTAAAAGTTTTATTTGGAAGGAACCTTTGACATAGTACATATACATGCATCCAGATATAGATACAGGTAGTTAATTTTTACTCAATCAAAGATTACCAGTAGATTTAGTCTAATCAATGACTTTGATAACTTCATTGAACTTGTATTCTTTTATGTTAAAGTTGCCCTTATATTCCTAGTTCCACTAACTTGTGTATTTGTAAAATAGAGCTAATGTGCACATTGTGACTCTTACCCTTTCTTAAAGTAATAAATTTCAAAGTAATACAACAGTGTTTAACTACTGTTCAGAAAATCCTAGAATGGTGTTCAATCTTAAGACTAATGTTTAGAAAAGTCTAATACTTGACCCTTTTATAAATAGTTTTTCACGTTTCTTTTAGTTAGTATTTATATATGTCTTACTTTGTATCTGAGATACACTTTTGTCATGAGTAGTATGCAAAAGAAGTTAGTTGACAATTCGTCTTTTTCTTATGTCATTTGGTAGTTTTTATGGGACGTAGTTAGATAATCTAAGTCTGGGGTTTAAAGTTATTTTGATTAATTAAAATTAAGAGTCTAGTGCGTGAGGCCAATTGTAGGTAGAGACCCAAAATTAGGCATCAATAAATAGAAAAATCTGTTGTATCTTAATTAGTTGCTTTTTTGCTTTGGCATTCATTTATGGGGATTTCAATCGAGATGCTTGTGGACTTTCATGTTACTAAAAGAATTGTGTTTAAAAAAAATGGACTCCAATTTCGTTTTCCAGTTCTACAAGTGATATACTGGAATAATAATTTTTTACGCCGAAAAAAATGTTCTTCATGAAAACAAGAAACTTAAAAAGGAAAAAGGAAACTAGAAGAACAAAATGTTGAGAACTAAAATAAGATAGCTATCATTGACGAGGTTTAATCCTTCCCTCTAAATTTATAAGGGAAAGTGGCTAATTTCGTCCATAAATATTTTAACTAGAGGCAATTTAGTCACTAACTTTTATTTATCATCAATTTGGTACGTAAGCCTAATTTTCCAGTTCAATTAAAGTCTTTTTTGGTGGAGTCACCGTTTAGAAGTGATTTGACTCTTATTAACAACTAAACAAGGCCATTTTGGAAATTTTGGGTACTCTCGTCCTTCCACCATCAAAGGTACTCTCCTCCATCAACCATCAAATTCCACTATCCGCCACCCACCTCCTCCTCCTTCCTCCACCCTTCTCCTTCTTCTCCTCTTCCCCTACCCTTTTCATCAACTTCCCACTCCTACTTCTCTCACCAGTCCCTTTTCTTCACCGCCCCTTGCTTCTCCTTCCCCCTAAGGGGTTTTGGTCAAAGAGGCAGCACATAATTAAGAAGCCCAATTCGTCAATTTAATGTTTAGAATTTCAAATCCTCTATGAGCTAATCATAACACAATCATGGCAAATGTCAAAGTTTTTCAAGGTGTACCATACTCATCATGATTGCTTAAAAAATCGTATACTTCCTTTCCATGATTCATTTATACTAAAAGACCAAAATTTTGAGCAAAGGTGCAATCCTTCCTGTACTAATCTCTTGACCAGTACCACCATTGACTTAAATAAATGATGGAAAATAGCTTAAAAAAGATAAACACTATAATAACTTTGGGAAACAGATTTTTTTAAAGCCGGTCACATTATACCTGTGGTGATCACCTTTGCAGCAAGAAAATGGCGACAGTGATTGGATGCTGGAGTTTTCTTCTTATTGCAAATTCTTTCTTTCGATGATGAGATGGTCAAGAAAGATTTAGAGAGGGCTTATTCCGATTGTTTATAGGACCAGATCTCCTTGGAGGCGAGGGGAAGGTAGGAGTGATCGGGAAAATGAAGGGGAAGGAGTAGTGGGAGAGTAATGCTAGTGAAAGGGACAGGGGGACAGAAAAGGAGTAGTAGGTGGAAGTAGCAAAAGAAGGCTGGGGGAAGGAGGAGTGGGTGGTTGGCGAGATGGAGTTTAGTGGTGGGGTAAGGAGAATTAAGGAGTGGACAGGGTAGTGGCAGATAGGGGTATTGAGGGAGGTGGAATGGTGGCTGGGTTGACCGAGGAAGAGGGTCGCGGAGGAGAAGAGAGGGCACGAGGAAGATAAAGGGGTAGGAAGTTAATTAATAATTTTAAAAATATCTCAAAAAGTTTTAAATTTTAAAAATATCCCAAATACTCATAATTTTTTTGGTTTACTTGGTTTTATTACAACCTGCGAAGTTCCTAAAATACCTCCATTTAGTTGTTAAATTAAGAGCCAAATCATTTTAAAGTGGTGACGCCGCTGTAGAGGGCCTTAATTGGATCCAAAAATTAAGTTTACGTATCAAATTGGCCAAAAATAAAAATTAGGGACTAAATTGGCTCTACTAAAAATGTTTAGGGATGAAATTAGCCACTTTCTCAATTTATAAACCTAAATACCCTGTTTTCTATAAGTATATAGGTCGTTTATCGAACATAAGGGATATTTAGTGTTAATTCCAAAGGAAAAATTGTCAATTATTGGTGGTATTTGAATTACTTTATTATTTAGATTTCCACAAATAAAGAAAATAAATTTATACTACAGATATGAAATAAAAATAGTAAAAATAATAACAAAGACATTTCTAAGGTTATGGAATTCCTATCCACTCTTGCAAGTGAAAATTACCTGTTCATTGAGTGTTATTATCTTGACTAGTTATGACGTAATTTCCCAATGTATATGGTACACACTTTCGCCTATGTACCAATCATACCTATAACTACTCCACATCTACTAACGTGATATGAAACTATCTATAAATTCATTAGATTTTGTGAAATTGCTTGTTAAAACCACAAAACTACAAAACTGTAACCATACATTAGTGAGTTAACTCCTTAGGTCTAACACTTCTATAAACTAGTGTTAGATCCCAATATTTATTGATGAGACAACACTTTTAGGTAATCATAGCTAATCATCAGTTAATCATGATTATAATAGCAAAAGTGTTAAATCACAAAAAAAAGTTCAAATGACCATGAAAACCTCACATAACAATAACGGATAGTTCATCCATCCCTCAGTATACCAACTAACAAAATATAAATGAAATACAAACAATAACCAAACTTATATGTTCACAAAATATGAGAATAAATACAAGAAATAAAATAGTAGGAGAGAAGTCACCCTTATCACATGAATTTCAAAACTCTCCATCTTCATCATCAATTTAATCTATGTTTAGCTACAATACAAGATGGATAATCTACACTGACCTACACTAAACTAATGAAATAAGGAGAACTAGTGAAAACCACATTTTGTATGGTATTTTTCTATCCCTCAATGTTACAAAACAAGTCCTCCAATTTATAGAACATTAAAATTCCAATCAATCATGTTAAAGTTGATGCAATTTTTTTTGTTGAAATCACTAAAAGTTGATTCTACAAGTTTCTATGATCTCTTTGGATAGAATCAGTCAAAATCTCTCTAAAAAATGGTGGTCAAGAATCTTGTGCAAACAAGCTACAACTTGTAGAGCCGAAATTAGGATCTGTGAGGTAGGATTTGCGATCAACATCTCAGGTGTCCAATTCACGTATCCACTTGATTGTAGGTTTACGCTTTTTGATGATTTCTCGATCTTGCTTTATTTTTACACCAAATTGGACCGTAAATTTCTTAGTGATGAAAGTTGAACTAACTCTTGCACAAATACAAAAATTTTATCGCATTTAGTTAGCTTTCCAATGAATTAAGAACCATGACATTTAGAGCTTTGTAGTCTCAGAAATGACTGAAAAACTCTCAACTAGTCAGTGGCCTCGTTTCGGATCTTGGCAGCAAAAATGCATGACTGTATTTCACCTTTTTGACCATGAAAATGTCTGAATTGGATTTTGATATCTCATAAAAAAATATAGTCCTATGTCTTAGGTTTAAAATGGTTCAAGAATTATCTCAACCCAATGCTTGTAGGGATGTAATTGAACCGAACTCGCGAGCAACTCGATCAAAAGCTTGACTCGCACTCGACTTTGACCAAGTGCGAGTTTGGCTCGAGTAGCTCATTAATAATTCAAGCTGAGTTTGAGTATTGATTTGTCAAGTTCGATGGCTCGTCGAGCCTTACTGAGCACAAATTAATCAATTAAAAATTATATATTTAGTTATTGCAATTTTACTCTTTTAGACTCGGGAGTTGTCTAAATTACCAAAATGTTGGCTATAACTTAAAAATATTTATAGGTCATATAGTCATTTCAAAAAGAAAAAAAATAATTTTAGAGGTAAAAAACAAAATTGGCATTTCCTAATTCCTCTTTCCTCCTCAATCGATCACTAATTTCTTCCAAGTGCTACTAAGCTACTCTTCTCCTCCTTGTCTGAACTTCTGAGAGTCCAAATCTTTGACGAGATTAAAAGCTCGATTTCCGCTTGCTACCACTCATATGTACCAGTGCATCTTACCACACGGTCCATACCTATACAAATGCATCAATCTAGTGGCCATTGCTGTTGTTGTATTTGCTAGAGGGTTGACTTCATTTCTTTCCATCTACCATCTGCCATTGCTACATTTTCTCTCTTCAGCTTTAGTCGTCAACTAGAAAAAGGTATTGAGCTAATTATTTGCTATTATTTGCATCCCTTCAAACATTTTCTGAAAATTTCTTCAAACCCTAAGTTCTGAAATTGGGGCTTTTATTTCATTATTTGTAGAGGCTGAAATTGGGGGTTTGAATAATCTGATAGCTCAGGGGAAAGATGGAAAAAGAACATGAGCCACATGACACTTCGACAACTGGTTCGACATCCATTGCAAGCGCAGGACTAGTAGGTAAGTTGTATTGCTCAGTAGTTATGCAACTTAGCTCAGGGGAAAGATGGAAAAAGAACATGAGCCACATGACACTTCGACAACTAGTTCGGCATTCATCGCAAGAGCAGGACTAGTAGGTAAGTCGTATTCCTCTGTAGTTATGCAGCTTAATGGTTAGTTTTTTATTCCTCTATTCCTCTGTAGTTATGCAACTTAATGTTTTAGTTATGCCACAAGTTTGATATCCAACTTTGGGTGTAGTTAGGTAATTTAGGTCTATCATTTCTAAATTTCTACTTGTTTAGTCATTCAATTTTGTTTTAATGTGTCACTTTAGTTGAAAAAAATATTTAAATGTCTTGGTGGTAGGAGTTGATCATGGCTGGATGGCTGCTTTACGGGGCATTTCTTGCTATTGCCTTTGTTTTTGCTCATTTGCTGCTTCATCTATGAAGTTGTTTTGGTGCTAGCTTGGTGCTAAGATATTTTCTTGTGTGGACTTGCAAGTTGTAGGTTGCTGTAGTAGTAAATTGCTCTTGTTTTAGGCGGTTTATTGCCACTTACATTCTTGAAATTGTTTTGGTACTGGCTTGGTGATAAGATACTATCTTGTGTAAGACTTGCAAGTTGTAGGCTGTTGCAGTAGTAAATTACTCTTGTTTTGGGCTATTATTTTGATGCTAGCTACTTGGCTGTTAAATGTTAATGTAATCATCAGTGATCACTAATCAGACATGCTTAATTTATAACTTCTACTTTCTACAACTGCTGCTTTTTTTTTTTCCCCTAAATTCCATTTTTGCATAATAGGATATGAACCTTTCTTGTAACTAATTGCAAATGTTCTAACTTATTTCAATTGCTAATAGCCTATTCTTAATCAAGAAATTAGGCTTGCTCAATCTATTTTACATGAAGAGTTATATTCTGCAATTCTGGAAATGGACAAAGATCTTGAGCTTGAGTCAAGTACTCGAGCTCGATCATACTCACAAGAAAATTGAGGATAATCGAGTTGATCTCGAGTTTTCGAATATTTTTTTGAGTTCGAGTTCGAACTTCATTTCTGCTACTCGCTCGAACTTGAACAATACCTCTTACTATTGAGTAGAGGTCGACTTGACTCAATTACATTTCTAAATGCTTGTATCTTAAGTTATAACCAAAATCCTAGAGCATGTCAGGACAACTAATCTTTTCTTCATTTGAAATTGATTGTATTTTATCTTTTGAATATTTTGTATTTCATGTTTACTTAAAATAACGTCAAATTATCAAGAATCATCCAACATTTTCTCTCGTTATTTCATTTGATGATTAAGTCATTAAAACCTATAAAAACATGAAGTTTTCACCACTTATATCCATAGAAATGCAATTTTTCTCACTTTTAAATTCATTAGAGACCAAATTATTTAGCTATTAAAATGATTAAAACATAACAAGAACTAAATAATAAAATACACTAGAAATATGCAAAAATAACGCTTACCAAACATCCTCACTTGATTGCTAGGGTATTATTGGGTCTGGAACTAATCTGTATCTACAAATTTCGTTTTTTGGTTTTGGTGAAAATCATCAAATGTTACAAAAAATAAGAAAAATGAAGTTGAACAGAGAAATCAATATGGTGACAATCCAGCTCTTGTACCAAGATGAATACACACACTTATATATGTATATCCTTGGACTATATATATCCAATTCTTTTATTTCTTCTATCCATCACTGCTCTTTCTGAACAGCAAATATAATCACCTGAAAAACCATTTAAAGGAAATTAGAAAAAGAAAAGAACCAATGCAAAATGATAATTAACCCACATGACTAAACGGTCATCAAATGGACCCATTTCCCTGAACAAAATTCAACATAGGAGATCTTCCAAATTATGAAGGGACTAGACCTAGCACAGTTGAATGGTCCAACTTTTGCTAGCCAACTTGGACTACGTAGATATATTGTCCTTTCGATTTGGTTGTGATCATTTATTAGTTCAACTGTTCATGTGGGTTGAATCTTTAGTCAATGAAGGTTCGTGAGGGCTTCCTTTGAAATTTCAATGATTTTATGATCTTAATTCCTTGGAGATTTTAACGAGTTCAAGATCTTTTATTTAATTTCTTGTGTCAATATTTCTTCTTCTTGTTTTCTTTTTTCTTTTGCAAGTATACAAATATAACACAATATATTCACATGCAGAGTTACACATGGTGATAAAATAGAATGCT